GAGGAGGGGAGAAGCACTCAGCAGAGCTGGCCCTGGAAGGCACCCTGGAGAGGTCATAGCTCACATACTCAGGTTCTGAGAGGAGCCATGCATGGGGCATACTGTCCTGGAAGGGTCCCACATGTGCTGCAGGATGCTGAGTGACACTGACTCTCTGGATGTGTGGTATGGAAGTGCAAGTGAGGGCTGAACAGGTTCCCCTAGGAGAGGGGAGTTGGGGCTATCCCCACCATATCCTCTAAGATTTTTTTTTTCTTTGAGGTAGGGTCTTTGTAGCTTTGACTGGCTTTGAGCTCACTATGTACACCAGACTGGCCTTGAACTCACAGAGATCCTCCTGCTTCAGCTTTGTGTGTGCTGGGATTACAGATGCGTGCCACTATAGCCACTAGCAGGCCCGTCCTTCTGCATGGCATGGCGATTGGCATTCAGGCCACGGACACAGGCAGATAAGCTGGGACTCTCCGCGGCATCCTGGTGCTGGCCTTCCATGGGGCCTGTAGTTCTGCAGATGGGTCATTTTCTCACCATCTCCTCCGCAGCCACATGGTCTGGCCCTCCTGACCCACGCAGAACAACTGTCCCTGCCTCCACATTGTGTGCTGACCCTCACACATATCCTCCAGGCTACTCCCCACTCAACAATTAGGGCTTCTAGGGTGACAGTCACTCCCAACTGCCTTGGGCTTGATATCAGGGGCTCCTGCTCCTCCCTAGCCCCTGCCCATGTGGAAGGGCACTGCAACTTTTCTCCGTTGTAGGAAGCCCTGAGGCCAGAGGAAGAGGCAGCATGAAGGGGCACAGAGCCCATCATAGGCAGAAACTGCATGGTGGAGATGCACAAGTGGGCCGCCCGGGGATTCCTGCTGGGCCTGGAGTCCTGTGTTACCTGTAAGGCTCCTCTGGCTCAGTTAGAGGCACTGGGCTGAGGCCTCCCAGATTTGCTGATGATGGATGGTCTTTAAAGGCTGTGCCCAGGCAGGGATGACTTCACCCAGGACACAGCCAGGGAGAGGAGCTAGAGTCGAGGCAGGCAGCACCTCAGCTGCCACGGGACCTGCGTGGACTTGCTCAGTCTGATGAATGAGAAGACATGTGTACCACATGTGTGTGTGTGTGTCCCTCAACAGGGCCAGAGGGCTTATGCCTGATGGAAGAGGCAGGCCTGGTGAAAAGACTCAACAGAGACAAAGAGGACTGGGTTCTCCCTTGATTGACTCACTCTATGACACTCCAGGATGGGACAATTTTGAACCATCCCAAGGTCCCTGGTGTCAGATGAATCAATACTAGGAGGCCTCTGGGAAGAGACAAGGAGGCTATGTCCTGTGGATTCCAGAACACACAGGGGAAAGCTGTCAAAGCCAGAACCTGGGTGTCCCTGTGCTTCCTCCAGAGAAGCCTGGCTCCCACACAGGCCCTGGGCCTTCTGCTGAGGCTTTGGGGTGGGTACCGATGTGCCAGACACATCCTTCCCCATGCAGAGGTGGCCTCATGCTGAACTGTAGCACAGAGAGGCGGCAGATTCCAGGGTGGGCTTGCTTGCTGCCTGCCCCAACCTTGCCTATACCCTCACAATGGGAGGCCCTGTGAGGCAGCAGTAGGACAAGCCTCTCTCTCCAGGCGCAGAGCAGGACCACCCTATAGCATGCTCATTCTTTGCTGTCTTCTGGTCAGACCTCTTCAAAATGACCACTCTGCAATGATACAGGTTCTTCCTGGTGTCCAGCCTTAGTCACTCGGGCTGGTGCACCCAATTCATTTATCAGAGGACAAGTTATCCTACCAGCCATCTGACCTCACTGGCTTTCCCCGGGGCATGTTCCCACTCCCAGGACTGTTTTCCAATGGACACAGGAAATGACTGCTGGATGAATGCACAGGTGACTAAGTGGCTTGGATCTGCCTGCCAGGAGAAGGCTGAGAAGCAGCTAAGCAGCAGCTGGGTGCCTGGGGCCAGGGCCGAGGTGGAGACAGAAACAGAGACCCAGGGGGCTCCCAGCTGGCCAGGAGGAGCAGCACAGCTTAGAGAGACAAGCAGTTCCAGACATGCAGGTGTTAAAAGCTCAGAGGATGCTGGCATCAAGGACCCTGACAAAGATGGCCAGGCCCAGGCCAAGGCTGGTAGAATTATAGGAGTTCAGGTGTCCATGTGGCAAGAGCCTGGGACCCGGGGTGTGGGAAGCAGTCCAGGGCAGTGTGGCCTACCCTAATGTCACAGTGTAAGGACTGAGGACCTTACCACATAGTCACAGCCTGGTAGGCTCCTGGTGTAAGCCCTAGCCAGGCACAGAGCTGAGGTGAGAATTTCCAGAGATGGCACTGACGCACCTGGCAGGACTGCATGCAAGGAAAGCTGTGGGGTTGGGCTTTCTTGCACTCCCTGACCCCTAGGCCTATGGCAGGAACCAGCTCAGGAGGTGACTGCTGCTCCACCCCCGGTCCTGTACTTGGGCACACTGGCACTGCCAGGCACTTACTTGGCCTATCAAGGGCCCAGCCCCCAGCCCAGCACCCGCGGGCTTCCCCAGGCCTGGGTGAGGGCAGCAGGAGAAACAAAGGCGCAGTCTCTGCCTGCTCAAGCCCCCACCCCCTTGCCTGCCCCTGGCACAGAAGGACCAGGGCCCTGAGGGAGCCTGAGAGCCAGGGCAACACCCACCCTTTGCCAACACTGTGAGAACCCTACTTCCCTTCACCCCCAGTGCGCGAGCCCTCTGCAGAACAAGGGGATTTCTCCATTCGGAAGCCCAGAGAATTAAGGGGGAGACACAGAGCCAGCAGTCACACAGCTGCAATTGGAACCCAGATCCCATGGTTGGCAGAACCTGGCCTCTACCCCTGGTCACAGGCCAAGCCATGAAGGTGGTAATTGTGTTCAGGCCCTACATGACTTGTAGGTGGCAATGGGACAGGGTCAGGAAAGGCAGAGCCAGGGTAACCCAATGGGAAAGACCAGAAGGGCTGTGTTGTTCTCACCCTGCCAGTCCGGCTGACCTCTTTTCACCTAGTGCCACCCAATGCTGATCACACAGCCTGACGGGACAAAGCTGGGTCAGAAGCAGAAGTGGGGAAACTGAGTCAGCACAGAGATCTCCTAAGTCCCTGCTTGGGCTCACCTGATCCAGTCTGAGGACCCGGAGACATAAACCGCTTGGAGCTACATGTCCACCCCTCTATAAACAGCAATATCACCCCTAGGGGTCCCACTCCCTCCCTACAGCCATGGCTACCGTCCTTCTCTAGGTCTCTCCCTGCTCCTGGGTCTCTGCTCACACCCTGCCTATGGAAGCCTTGATGATGGTCTGAGCATGGCTGGTGCTTCCGTGCAAGCTTAGGCTCTAACCAGGACAGGAACATAACCAGCTCATCAGGCGCAAATGAACAGCATCCACTGTCTATGTGCGGGGCCCATTCTACAGCTGGAAGCTGAGGTGCTTCCGCCTCAACAGCACCTCTGGTTGATCCATACGTGTGCCCAGCAGACCCTAGCGAGGTCCAGGCCAATGCCTCACAGAAGCAGTGTCCCCCACCAACATCTCAGGCTTCCTGCTCTTACCAAACACCATAACTCATTTTAAAGAAAAAATAATATTTATTTGCAATATAAACAAAGTCCTGTTGCTGGTTCGGGGTGTGTGTGTGTGTGTGTGTGTGTGTGTGTGTGTAGGGTCACAAATTTTCCTTCATAAGCTCATAAAGCAAAACTGGCCACCCTCTCGCATATATACACAAATCAGACACATCTTTGTGGTTTTTTTCTTTTTTAAAAAATAAAGAGAGAGAAAGAGAACCATGTACAGCATGGAAGCTTTTTGTCAATCTCTTGACTGTGGCAAGATTTTAATCCGCTGCCCTAAAAAAAAAAAATCCCTGAAAACCACCCCGTGAGGTAAGATGCAGCGGGCGCAGAGTTTCCGTGGCCTTGCTGACATGCTGAGTGCTGGCTCCGTCAGGGACACCGGCTCCAAGGCTGACCCCTTCCTGGCTCCTGGGCAGCCCCAACACCTGGCTAGAACTGAGGCTGGAGAAGGAACAAAGTTGGAGGAGGCTAATGGAATCCGTGGCTTTGTTCTGTGGATGTTGGGGTGGACAGAGCCTCATATCTCTTCCACCTCCTATCACTGCCCCATCTACCCCTGCCCTAGAGTTAAAATGGATGAAGTTTCCTGGTAGTAGAAGGCATGGTAAGATGTGAATGGGGCAGGCTTCCATGGGGTCAAAGAACTGACTGGAAGCAGTGGCTGGGCCAAAGCCTCAGCCAGGGAAAAGGAAAGAATCTGGGATGTAGGGATGGGCCCTACCACCTAAGCTTCCCCAGACACTGCCCTTCACTCCCAACTGGAGAAAGGGAACAAAAACAGGAGTCATGGTAAGTTTAGAAAAGGGCCTAGGGTCCAGCCTCTGAGGGGCTGAGCCCAAAAAGCCAACGCTACTGCTTGGCAGCCCCTGAAGCAGAAGAGGCAGGACCCCGATCTTCCGCCTCAGGGAGGTCTGCAGGACCACTGGAGTGGCAGGGAGGACAAACAATGCAAAGACCACTGGTCCAGCCCACTGAACACATTTACAACAGTCAGCACAGGTGGATGCAGTGCCACCCAGGGCTGGCCCACCACGGGGGATGGCACCACAGCGCCCCGACTCCTGGAGCATAGCAGCTGCCCCTTCCAGAGGGCCTGGTGGAGAAACAGAGGCTTCACACGTGTGCAAAATGCATTTGGTCAAGATCAACATGGGTTTTTGTCTTTTCCATTAAAAACAAAAACAAAACACACCAATAACTGCTTTTTGAAATAGGAAGAAAAACAAAACTGAGAACACCTCTCTCTCTATCAAGAAAGACATGAAACACTGGTTTAC